TATGTAACTTAGTCTGGCTGAGAATCTGCCCTTTAACTTCATCTCATTCAATATATCAGATGTTAGAAGTAATATTTCTTCTATGAAATAGGTTCCAAAATTAAAAGGTTGGTGTATCCAATAAGCTTCATGGGGATTGGTACCGCTCTCTACTATCCACAGCAAACAGTTGCTGTTGCCAAGGTAATTGTTGAAAATCATCCTTCTTATTCATATAGCTTTATATTTCTTGTAATCTTATGTTATTTCTTGTAAATAATTTACATAAGTAATATATTCAATCCAAAGTATTTGATAAATATAGTGTAGACTTGAGTCTACTTAGTCCCAGTCCAACATCATTTGTTGTTTATCTCAGTATATCAGCTGGGCAGATTTGAGAGATCTGCAAATCTAATTCTGTTTCCTGAATGAATAATCCAGGAGAACAAATGCTCTGGCTCCTAGCACATACTCGTATAGCCATTTTTTTGCAGACCCTCTGAAAAAGCTTTGTGGGTTCCTATAGTTTCTTTTCTCATCAGTTATGTTTTCTTCCTCTTAGTAATGTTGAAGACACATATATATATATTTTTTACACAGCTGTACTGTATAGAAATGTGTTTCTTCATTTCATGAATCCTAAAATTAAGGCTGCACAAATAGCTTGATAGTGACGCCTATGAAACAGTACAAATATTGGAATACCAAGTTGGAGCAGGATATGAGCTTTGTGTATTAATTTTATGGGGTGTCTATACAATTGTAAAAGAAAAAAAAGTATATTAGTACTGTATCCTTCGCTGAATACAATTTGAGACAATACAATATTTTCCAGCACTAAACATTGAACCATAGAACAAAGCCATGTATTTGTATGAGTCCTGAAAGTAGAATTTTCTTTTAAACATGAAGTGATCACAGCTCATGTTGTTTACAAGGTGGGAGCTTTCAGTTCTGTTAATGATTACACAGAGCTGCTGCATATCAGCTTTTGCAGCTGAAATTCAGAACTCCAGTTTTTAAACTGTAAATGTTCTCAGGGAGAACTAGTTCTCATTTGTTTATATCGAGTGTCATACTGTTCTAAATCATAATTTTAGCTATATTCGTTCAAGTTTTGTAACTCTGTAATTTATTGTTTTCTCCTGAATCATAGCATGGAAATTTAAGGATGTTTACACAAGGAGAAGTTTTTGTCCTCTCCTCTATAGGGATTTGAGGCCCCTGAAAACCTTTCTGGAAAATCTGGAAATATTGCTTGTCAATATGGGGTAAAGTGTAGGATATTGCTATGTAAAATAGGCACATGAATCTCTCTTTGATTGTATAAGCAATAATTTACAACAAGGCTCCTCCTTACAGCTTATTTCAAAACCTGGTAAGAAAGTCATGTGCTTTTTTGGTTCTGTGCTTTTTCTAAAAAAAGAAATCTGACTGTTCTTATTTCTTTATATTATAATGAAGTCATACTGAGCAATACTTGTGGATGATCTATAAATTAACTCTTATGGTGGCACTGGAGAAGTTGAAAATGTTGTATAATGTGTGTGTTACAGTGTAGTGTAGTGTAGTGTAGTGTAGTGAGCTAAGTATGTGATCAAGGAATCTTATGGTATAAGTTGAATGAAGTAGGAGCTATTTCTTGTGTCTTGTTTACTTAGTAATTATAGCTTTCTCTATCAATATTAAGCAGGAATCATGATTTATAATATTTATCTAAACGCTTAGAGAAAATAGAAATGAACTACAGTACTTACTGATAAAGCCGAAATATAACGCTTAAGGTGACTATCATTGTATCCCTGGTTTTTTAAAGGTAACTGGCTTTCGCATATATGACTGGAGTCTACAAGCATATATAAGCCTAGAATCCCTTTGGAAAGATAGTTCAAAAAAGAAAAAGTCTGCAAAAGCAAGCAGCAAGGTATGGTATGTGACAGGTTTCTCTCCTCATGAGCTTATTTTGGTGGTTCTTGGCATTTTTGTTTTGATTTGGGATGCACTTCCTTGTTTCTGCTGATTTGTCCTTATATTTTAGTTAGAAAAGCTATGCAGGGATAAACACAAGCCATCATATGCTGCTCCCACCTGCAAACTACAGTAATAATTAGGAAAGGCAACAAAATGCTACAAATAGCAAATTGGTATAGCTTGGTGATTCAGTTATTGTTGCATATTATTGTTGCTCTTAAATTAATCTTACTGAAAGGAGATGGTCTAGTATGTGATATGAAACGTCATGTATTGAGTCACAACTCAGCATTCAAAATGTGTGAATTAATGTGTATTCATGATTTTTCCCCCCTGTGGAAATAGCTTGTAAAGATTTATATTTAAATCATTGTCTTAATTAAAATAGAACCTAGGTTTCATTCTACACAATCAAGTGGAGGAGTCAGTGGTAATTACCATCTTTTGGTTTCCTCTGCTCTTAAGATGGTATCTTAATTTAGTTAAGTTCTAAATCTTCTCATGTTTCTTTCAGCTTGTGTGTGTGTATGTCGTGTGTATGTATTTTAAAAAAATTTCTAACCTATCGAGTCATAGCTTCACATTTGTGTCTTAATTTGCCAGCCAGTATAGAACACTTTGGGTTTATAGGGAACTTTTTACATTTATATGTGGTAGTTTCAGTATGCAGTTGCAGTGTGAAGAGAAAAAGACAATTTTGCAAATACACATAGAAAAAATCCATCCACATAGCAACTGATGTCTGTGTACATGAATTCTCAGATGTCCCAGCAGAGATAACAAGGACAACCTTTAGCTTTTCACTGTTGAGATGATAACATATGCCAGTCAAATCTTCATTGCAAACATAGATTGCCAGTTAATGTCTTGTCTATCAGAATGTGCACATTTAAAAATCAACAAACTTTCCTATATTTATAGGTTCTTACCTAATAATGTAACTTGATGTAGATACTGGGTATACTCCCATTTTTAGAATGTTCTGAAAAGAGCTAGCTCCTTTAGTTGACCCTTCTGGGTAGCTAAATGGATCTCAGAGTAGAACTTCAGATGATCAACTACATCATAATTTAGTGAACAAAGTAGGCACAGTGAACATGGGTTTGTAAATTCCATTACACCCCCTTTTGATCCCCTATTGCATATGAATTCATGCAACAAAAAGTGAAAATCACATTTTTTTCTTTAGAATATTTCATTAGAATGTTCTAATGAAAGTTATCTTAAACTATGATTTTGGATTTTAAAACATTACTTAGATCAAATGACCATTCGCTGATTTCAAGAGGTTGATAGGAAAGCATGCAAGTCTGGGGTTTACAATGCCTCACTTCCATTTATCTAAATATACACTGCGTGCACAATTATTAGGCAAGTTGTATTTTTGAGGATGAATTTCAATATTGAACAACTACAGTGCTCTCGGTCAATACAAAATGTTAATAAACCTCAAACCTGAATATTTAAGAAAGTAAAAGTGAGGTATTGGCTTTCTTAGAAGCATATCTATGTGTGCACAATTATTGGGCAACTATTAGTGTGCACAATTATTATGCAACTAAATGAAAAACAAAAATTCCCCCATCTCACTCATTTATTTTCATCTGTTAAAGTGAGAATAATGAACAAAAGTTGTATTTTTGAGGATGAATTTCAATATTGAACAACTACAGTGCTCTCGGTCAATACAAAATGTTAATAAACCTCAAACCTGAATATTTAAGAAAGTAAAAGTGAGGTATTGGCTTTCTTAGAAGCATATCTATGTGTGCACAATTATTGGGCAACTATTAGTGTGCACAATTATTATGCAACTAAATGAAAAACAAAAATTCCCCCATCTCACTCATTTATTTTCATCTGTTAAAGTGAGAATAATGAACAAACAACTCAAAATTTACAACAACTATTAGTGTGCACAATTATTATGCAACTAAATGAAAAACAAAAATTCCCCCATCTCACTCATTTATTTTCATCTGTTAAAGTGAGAATAATGAACAAACAACTCAAAATTTACAAATAAACATTTCTGACATTTCAAACAAAAAATCAGTGACCAATATAGCCACCCTTCTTTGCAATAACAGCCATAAGCGTTCCATTCATGGAGTCTGTCAGTTTCTTGATCTGTTGACAATCAACTTTTTCTGCGGCAGCAACCACAGCCTCCCAGACACTGTTCAGAGAGGTGTACTGTTTTCCTTCATCATAAATCTCCCATTTGAGAAGGGCCCACACATTCTCAGTAGGGTTTAGGTCAGGTGAGGAAGGGGACCATATCATTATTCTTTCATCTTTGAGGCCTTTACTGGCTAGCCACGCAGTGGAGTACTTCGATGCATGCGATGGAGCATTGTACTGGATAAACATCATGGTCTTCTTGAAAGATGCAGACTTTTTCCTGTACCACTGCTTGAAGAAAG